TTTTTTTTTTTTTTTTTGGTTGTAAGAGTCAGGTTAAAATTGAAATTTTATTCATTTTTGTACGAGAATATTTAGGTCTTTGTTTACTTATTAACGTTAAAATTAATAATCTAGTTTATGATGGAAGAAGTCCACGCAAATCACGTATTTCGACGAAAAATTTGAACATTAAATACCATAATAAAACTCTGTAATAAAAATTTTCAGAGTTTTATTGTTGCGAGCGGTCGGTTATTGTTATTGCAATCGGCTGGATTTTCAATTCGTGCGATCAAAATGTTTTCCTTTTAAATGGTTTTCTCAGTTTTATTTCGTTTGCGTCGATTTTATCGGTAAATCTTATATCACAGTTAGTGTCGATGATTTTCCGACAAATCTCTATTTCCATAACAATTCATCGGTCTTGACAAAGACGACGAACGCGGTCTTTCCACTTACTTTCGCTCTTCGATAAGCCCAAATCCAATGGAATTGTTAAAATGTAATAATCCTCATGTTGTACAGTACCATTCATGCTACCCTTGCTATGAATTGTTATATTCTACCTGAGCAGCTGAGTGATATGCTGAAGTATTAGATAATAAATTTTAAAGATAATACTTCTTCCTGTTTTCCATCATCAGAAATTTACAATTAATTAATTAAATACACTCTTTGTGTCATGTCTAACAAACATTTCACTCAGTAACGAATATTTTATTTAATTAATAATTTGGATTATATTACAGTTATATTATTAACTGATTATATTAGTAACACATTAGTTATAAAAGAACTCGTTGCTTATCTGTTATAATTAAATTAATAAACACGTTATAATTAAATTAATAAACACATTATAACTGATACTTACGGATGCGGCTAGTCTTGAAATTGCAAATGCCAAAAACGTCAAACTTACAGTTACCAAAATTGTAATAGCTATGGTCATTGTGTACAGATTAGTGATAACTATCCGGAATAAAATAGAATAGAAACAAATTGACACTATTGTAATGCTCATTCCGTAAAGAAAAAGAAAGTATTCATTTTTCTTCTCATTAATACCGTCTAGAAGATCGCAAAGTTCTGCATGTTTCGCTATTAAATTATCAATTTCTTGTTTGGGACAANTATTACCCCGCTATAGTTTATATACGCATCATATACTATATGACATTTGTACCGTTATAATCTGAACTTTAACTAAACATAATGATTCGACATTATTGTTTAGCGCTTTTTTTTCTATTTACAGAAATGTTTTCAGTTTTGTCAATGGACACAACTGTATAATTTGTAAAAACTAATTTCTCTAATTATATGTCGGAATTAAAAATCATTCGAAAGTTAAAATACCATACCTGCCTGTGGCTCCGTATTAAAGTCCCCAACACTATAGCCAATTTCTATGGCTGCTTTTAAAAAACCTTCTGTTATTGGTGGATGAAGTAGGGTGACTTCACAACAACATTTCCACCAACACCATGATAGCCTGATTTGTAAATTATTTTTATTAAATTATTCATCTTGTATACATTTATATTATATATATACTGTATAAAAAACATTTACCATTGCGTAATATATGATAATCTCGATTGTCTTCGACTTTTAGAAAATATAGAAAAATATTATTCCAATCCCAACCTGTAGCACCATCTTCTACCCAAATATCCTAATTCCTTTTATTTAAGTTAATAAGTTAATTTATAAGTTAAACTGAGGGTTCATCAAGTACTTTTCCTGCTACAATTTTATGTTGCTGGAATGAAATAAATTACAATCAGTTTCAGACGTAAGTTTTATTTCTTACAAATGTTAATTTTTAATTGCTTTCTCTGTTATTAAGAACTTTAGCTGTAGTTTTACTAGGTACAGTTGTAAAATTCCAATTGTGTTTTGATAGAGCTAAATTTAGAGGGTAAACTATCACTTGAGACATTAAAAGAGGCAATTTTCTCGCTTCTATCATAAGAACTTGAAGGGATGGTAGTTTCGAAATCCTATTGGCTATAACTGATCCTGCTGATTCTGAACCAACTGCAAAAATAAATATATTTTAGAATTTTATACAAAATAGAAAATGATAAACACAATCAGTAATCAACATCGACATGATCGGACAACGAACACATGTTCGGATAACGAACAACTTTACCGAACAAATATAAAAAGAAACGACGGAAAATAACGAATACCGATTGATTTTTCCCTTGTCTTCCGGTAACAATTCGAAACCTTTTGGAGCGCGGGAGACGACAACATTGACACTCAACCGAAACCGATCAGATAGTATTGTTCCGAATTTTGAAACTTTCCCTTGTAATTGCAGCTTTTGTTTACCTTTCTGACAAATAATTTTTTATAGTGTTCGCGAGACTGTCGGACGGCACTTGTTAAGTTTTAAGTCGGTATTTATATACAAAAGATGAAATTTTAACTGTCCCATCGGATATACGTTAACTTTTTAATACCAAATTTCGAATTACATTCGGGCTTTTCATTTAAATAACTTTTTGTGGGCTAGTTGATTTTTGTTCTCTGCATTTTTTAAGTGCTTTTCTGCACTTTTTATTTAAAAATGAAACTGATAATATTATGGAGCTTAAAAAAAGTGTCAAGAACTGTGCTCACCGGAGAAACCAAGTAAGAGATAATAGCCAAGGTAGAAAGTGGGCACAAGATATCTGATGTTTCCTGACTGGGATACCACCTATGAGTCTTAAGGCTCAGGCCAATAGGATCCTCTGGAGACTGACTCACCTCATCATACCTGCGGGGAAACAGAAAGAACTTCTAGCATACCTGGACATAGGAAGCTTACCCAATCTGGAAATGGACCACCTGTTTCACCATAGCCTCAACACCACTTTTCAGACCACCTACTCACCACTGCATCACCCTGCTCATCTACCAGAGGTCTCAATGGGTTCCCAGACAGAGGGTTCCCTTCCATATAATATTGTCTACATGGACGGTTCTAAATCTAAGACTGGGGTGGGAGCTGGTCTGGTCCACTATAATACCCGAAATAATCAGTTCATGCACAAAGAATCTCACCGCCTGGCAGGATTCTGCTCCATCACTCAGGCTGAACTGTATGCCATTTACAGAGCCCTCAAGTACATTAATACGAGTACTAAGCTCAAGGGCAAAAACATCTATATCTGCTCGGACAGTAGAACTGCTCTTCAAAGCATATCCAGTGGTAAGCTGGGTGGCAACATTCAACGGATGATCATTCAGGAGCTAACTGGTAGCACCAGCCACATAAATTTCATGTGGACACGGGCCCATTCTGGTGACACTGGTAACGAGGAGGCTGATCGCCTTGCTAGAGAGGTCTCCTCGAGTACTACTGACATTGCCTTCGAAGACATTCCGTTGGTGGCAACCAAGAAACTCATCTGGAACACTATGATCAACATTTGGCAGCGCAACTGGGAAGAAGATGAGACAGGAAGGACAACCTTCAGCTTCTTCCCAGACATTGCACAGCGACTACAGCTTCAACACCTCAGCATTAACTTTAAACTACTCAATTGTTCACCAACCACGAAAATTTCCTGGCCTACCTAAACAGATTTGGGCACAGGAACTTCCCGTATTGTCAGTGCAATGGGACTTCGCAACAAGACGCACAGCATCTCATATTCGACTGCAACCAATACACTCAACATAGGACGAATCTACTCAGGACAGTGTTACAGGAGGGATACAACTGGCCTTGCGACCACAACGTCTTGGTTAGAAATCAGAAGATATATTGAAAATAAATATTAAAAATATTGATGTTTCTAGACAGTATGGCTCGAACAGGTCTACAGTAGGCACAATCTTAGCTATAAAAAATATATAAAGAAGTCTCAAGATGCTAAAGGAATGATGAAAATCACACCTGAGAAATAAAGAGCATTTTAGAGCCCATAATGGAAACTGATCTGACTACAGAAGAACTCCGAGAACTCTCAAATGAAGAATACCAAGAAACTCGGCGAGATGTGTTTTCTTTTGAAAAAAGAGGAAGACGAAAGACGACCAATGTCGACCTCTGCTACTAAAGATCTTTTGAAGTAGTGGGAGGATGTCAGAACAACGATAATCCAAGTGGCATCCAAACAAGAATAAGGTTAATGGGGTTGGGGATCTCTACAATTACAATACTATTAATTACTTCCGAAAAATCCTGAAGAAATAAGAAAAGCAATCGATATTGGACAGATTCTTTATCCCCCACACACGAAAAACATGATTAAAGCAATGAGCAATAAAGTCGTATCGATCATCTGTCTAACCCCTTTCAAAAAAAATTTTTGAATTGAAATAACATGATTTTCGGTTTGCATCGATAGTTCATAGTTAATCGGGGCCTCCTGTCCTACGCTTCCCATATTTTGAATATACTGTAACATATTATTATTCTGATCTTCTACGGCAAAAATCTGAATAACCAAGACAATTGTAAACATTCCTTGCACACGTAAGGAATAAATCCTTAAACTTCTTCTGCTTATGAGGTTTCATTTACAGGGCTGTAAATATATAACGTTAGAAATATAGATTTTAAAGAATATAGGTAACAGAAAAAACACGGGCAATTATATTGATTTATATTACACTCTTATTATATAAGTAAAATGTATTGTAGTTGATATTATTGATAATCCATGCTCTTTCGGTTAAGTAGTAAATGACTAACGAAAATGCTATTTAATTTTTACTTTCACGGCTGTTATATATAACAGAAGCTACGGTGATCGGTCAAAAAATGATCCCCCTCAACACACATTTGCATTTTTGGACTTAGGACACCTTAAAACATGAACAAATGCAAACAAATTCGGGGTAATTTTTAGTGAGTGTGTGTTTGAGTGTGTAAGGGTGGAATGACTGTTCACCTAATTTGAAGCTTAATAACTTCCGTGCATTTTGTCAAAATTTTTTGAAGTTGAAGGTTGAAGTTGAAACCATTTTTAGAAGGTTTGGCGCAGCTTCATTTTCGTGGTAAAAGGTTGAAGGGTGAGGAGATAAAGGAGATTGTGTATTCAATATGTTTAGTAGGGTCGGTATTAATGACGATTTTACTCGTTATTAGCATTTACATATTTTTTTATAAAACTCAATCTGCGTTGAAAATTATGGTATTTTAATATTTTGATAATCTTTAAGATATTTTATTACAGTTAAAAATATAAAAGGTTTTAAGTAATAAAATATGATAACACCACACATGCAGTTCTAAATGTGGTCGAGAAAGTTAAGCAACTCGTTTCTAGAATTTTGTAAAAATTAAGAAATTTATTGATAACTTATTCATTCATATTATAATTAATTAATATTAACAAACAGAAATATAACTTATAATAGTAAAAACATTTTATTTATTTACGTATTTAATTAAATATAAATATTTTCACAATTTCTAAAATTCATTGTCTAAGTTAACTGCTGGTAAATCTCCGCATAATTTATTAGCTAATTTAAAATAGCTTCAACATTGATCAGTCAAATATCAATATTATTTACGTAATATTATATTGTTGCATTAAGAGCTACAACAAATTCGATCAATAAGAAAATCAGCATTTAATCGATACCATTCAGCATGGAAGACGGCTGTTTATATTGTTTCCTCTTACCGTCTATGTCTCTATCCTACATATTTGGCGGCTTATTTTTCGAGCCTTGCAAATGCAGGCCACACAACAACAAGTCTAAGGCTATGCGAATTTACATTTTATTCGTGCAAGGTATATACATAGCACACTTCATTCTATTAATTATTCAGCTTTTCCCAGCAGATAAACCAATCGGGTGTAGTGCGACACACAGCTTGACCGAAAAACAAAGCATGCCCTTTGTTAGATCCGTAATTTTGTCAATTGCATTTTTTAGTGCTGTCCTTCACAAAGCCGGAATAAATCAGAAAATACCGCTTAACCAAAAGCTGTCGAGTTACGCAGGCGAAAGAGAAAAACTATTGAGATATCAGAAAATAATTCACATTTGGGTTGGTAGCGCATTTTTCATCGTGGCTACCATCATGACAATTACGATTTCGGTACTGTCCAGTGTGAAAATCGAAGAAGTTAGTGGTTATTGGCGTAGTGTAATCTGCAGCGTTTTTCTAAACACATGCGTAATATACGAGTGTAGCATTGTGTTAGTTACATTAATAGTGTTTTCCGTAACGTGTTTCGCTGTCAAAGGAAGATTCGATGCGCTGTCAATCGAGTTACAATTTGCAGAAGTTGATTGTCCCAAACAAGAAATTGATAGTTTAATAGCCAAACATACAGAACTTTGCGATTTTCTAGACGATTTTAATGAGAAGAAAAATGAGTACTTTCTCTTTTTTTACGGAATGAGCATTACAATTGTGTCAATTTGTTTCTATTCTATTTTATTCCGGATAGTTATCACTAATCTGTACACAATGGGCATAGCTGTTACAATTTTGTTAACTGTAAGCTTGACGTTTTTGGCATTTGCAGTTTCAAGACTAGCAGCATCGGTAAGTATCATTTATAATGTGTTTCTTAATTACAACAGATAAGAAACGAGGTCTTTTATAACGAATATGCTACTTACTAATATAATAACTGTATTAAATATAATCGAAATTAATAATTAAATAAATTATTCGTTACTGAGTGAAATGTTTATTAGAGATGACACAAAGAATATATCTAATTGTAAATTTGTGATGATGGAAAACAGGAAGAACTATCTTAAAATTTATTATTTAATGATATCACTCATCTGCTTAGTAACACGTATGTACTGTACAGTACAACGTGCAAACAATTATATAAATATAATTTGTGGTAGCATTTCCTAAATATATTTCATTGATATTACATAAAATAATAATAATATATTGCTTAGGGTTATGATTCATTTCAAGAAATCAGAAGATTGGGAGCTTACTCTCGACGTTTAGAGGATAAATTAAAAGTAAGACAATTGAGGTTCGTTATAGAAAACTCTTATTAAACAGAATATATTTGTACAGATGTTGAATTTCATGAAGAAATTTCGTGATGAAGAAATCGGAATCAATTGTGGAGACTGCTTTATAATGTCAAAAGATTCTCCCGTTAAGGTAAACATAATACATAATCCATCGCACTGGGATAATAATTATTATGAGCATTCTGATAATAACATAAATAGAAATATAATTTATATACTTTCAGATGTTCCAAAGCTTTTACACTATATTTGACATGCTCTTACAAGTCCGTGATATTTTAGGTGGGAAAGAAGATAAATGCAACACCTCTGCTTACAATGTAACTGCATCTAAATCGTAGATTAATCCATAACATTTTATCTCTTAAATTCTTCACATTTTAAGCACAAAATACAGCAAAGAACATATTTAATTCTATTTCTCTCAGAGATATTGACCGTTCTAGTAATCGTTCTTAAATTAATTGGTCCTGTCGACTCTGGTAACGACAGGGCCAACATTTTAATTATTCCGGTTACTTTTCTAACCACGTAAAAGGGGTTCTTTGGACCAATAAAATAAATTGTTACGTCTTTCAAAATCAACGTTTACTGGAGTTCAAGAATTACTCAGAAACAATTAATTCTTAAATGTTTTATTTATATGCATTAGGGATCAAACTCTTGCCGATTCCTCTTCAGTCTACAAAGCATAAAATCGTTCGGTAAATTTACATTTAAAATGTATAACAAAGATATAAAATAAATAAATTACAACATGTACGGTTTTCGATTGAACCCACATCAATAATTTACATTCATCGGAAACAAGCACAAGAATAATTATCCTGCATGCGTAACATCTTATATATGATGTCATTTCAAACGTCATCTATTAACATCCCGCTATTCAGATTAATTAAGTTAGCATTATTTTTAATCGCGATATGTTTTCAAATATTCTCAAATATACATCATTTCTAAGAAGAAAATTCTAATATTATTTTTATTAATTATTTCTTAAAAGTATCTTTAAACTCTCTATATTCAAATACAATTTACATTATTGTTCTAATATCTAATATTACTGGCGTTATTAAATCGAACTTTTGAAAACATTTTTTTAAACACAGAAAAGTAGACCGAAATTTCAATATATTCTCATAACTTAACAAAAATTGTTCGCAGTTCTAATGTATATTTCGTTTTTGGAAAATAAATTAAAAGCTTCAAATATAATGTTTATATTGGTATACGGTGATTATTTATGTTTGAGATGTCATGTTTAATATATTAATAAATTAATGAAGAAAATGTTTAATATTTCCTTTAATTAATTAATGGTCATTCATATGTTCCAGTAATAAATATTCTTCCATGGATAATGAATTTATGTAATAAGTATTTGCAATTAGAACGTCATTACATTTTGATTTGACGTGACTCTGGAATGATTTATTTGGTTACGGGGACACGCGGGCCATCTTCCGAGAGGAATTTCTTTCGGGATGACTTTTATGGAAAACTGGCCTCTATTTAGGTGTTACAAACATAAAGAAACCTGGAAAACTCCGTAATCTCCATTCTTTTTCTGTTCAAATCAAGTCCTCTAACGCAGTGTTTTTCAACCTTCATGAATACCTTTACAAATTAAAAAATTCTGGCGACCCCCCAGGGCCATATTAAAACTATATCAGTGATTTTAAAAACTACGTATTTAATTTTCTTTCTTTAAATATCGATCGAAAAACCAATTGTACTGTAAAATAAACAGGCACAGCCTTCTCACTGAAATTCTAGTTTTTTTTTTTTTTATTGTAGTGTAGGACTTACAAACACTTGTCTTTTTCTTTAACCCGCCACCCCCCGTGTAAGGCTTTGCGACCCCCCCTGGGGGTCGCGACCCACAGGTTGAAAAACACTGCTCTAACGATTAGACGAAAAAAGATGAAGACCGCATTAGGAAAGAAACTCAACAGACATATAGAGGTATTATATAAAAAATTATCTTATAGTAAACTCTCTTTTTGCCACTCGTTGTGAAATTTAAATAATCAGACGTCATACTGTATTCGTACTAACGTTTGTATAATAATCTTAATATTTATTAAATTTTCTTTTGTTAATTAATCAAAGTTCGACTTCGATTCATTTACATTCCGGTCACTCTATTGACAGACTCAACCCTTATTACTAGACACTTTTACACGAGTTAGGACGTTTTACTTTCTATCCTAACTGGTGTCAAGAATCTTGACATAAACAGAAGTTTTTATGATCTCTCGGTCTTATTGAATTTATAGCCATTGCAGACTTCGAGTTTCATATGAAGTGTCAGGAGTTTGGGACAAGACCCTATCTGAACACCGTGAGTTCTCACAATTCTCACTACCCTGTGTTGTGTTATTTTCAATTTCTTATTTATTTTACTTTACACTTTATGTTTAGAATATTTTTCACAACTAATTGAATATCACTAAAAGAAAATAAAAAATAAATTTTTCCTCAAATACACTTCATATCAGTTTTTATTTATTTATTTAAATTAGTTTAAGAAATATTCGTTCAAGCAAGAATATAAATATTAATTAATCAATATTCTCGATAATACACATTATGAAATTTCTGAAGAAAAAAACAAAAGACAAACTGAAATAAATTTAATTTAATTACTCGTTTCTTAATTATGTATGCTAATGAAGGATTAATTCATGTAAACATCGTAAACTCAAACATAGAGTAATCCAATTTTCTATAACGCATTTCAAACCAAATTAAAATGCATAAAATAATTAAGAAATTATTGATTTCAAATATCTAATCACTAAATTTCACCACGGTCTGATTATTTCTCGAAATGTCTTCGAACACAGAAGAAGACGGGATTTGTCTGTCTTGTCTGATGAGGCCATTAAACAATGTACTGTACGTTTAATTCTTGCATTAGAACCGCACATCCCGTGTAATTGCCAATGTTTTGAATCATTTTCACCTACAAAAGCAATAGTAATTTCGATTTATTTTCGTATAATCGAAGTTTTTAGCTGGGGCGTTTTCATTTTAAACTTATGGCACACGATTCCAGAATTGAGTGAATTCGCACCTTGCATTGGAGGTTATACAATTGAAGGAGATTCAACAATCGTGTTTAAAATTTTATCTGTGAATTTGACTTACTTCGCGGCTTCGATGATTACTTTTCTAAAAAAGAACAAAATTTCTTTAAACTTGAAATTAAGAAACGTAATTTTTCGTAACGAAAAAGTACCCGATATAATAAACGATTTAAATTTACTTGTGTTTGTATTCGTAACAATGGTGAACAGTTGGATGATGATGATAAATTATTTTTTATTATATCCTTTATACTACAAACAAAGATATTCAAAGACAGAAGCTTTATTTTGTAGTTTGCACTTAGGAACGTGGTTACTTTATTTCATTGGAGTAATCGCGTGTATTCTGACGTCTGTAGGAGGTTTTTTATTTGTGGCGTTACTAGAATTTCAACAACTATCCAATGAATTATCTGTAATAAGAGGAAGAGATACGAACTTGAAACTGGAACTGCAAAAATTCATGAACAATCACGAACAATTGTGGAATTTTGTTTCACAATTAAACAACAAAATCAATTGTTTGTTCGTTGTTATTTACTTATGTCTCACTTTAGGAACAAGTATATGTTATTATATTTATCTTTATGTAAATTTGAGTATATCCTTTCAATATATTATCTTAGGACTGGCAATAACTTTATCTTTCGTTAATCTCGCATATGGATTCCTTTTATCTTGTCTGACATTTAAGGTAAGTAATTTCATATTTATGAATGTCATCGTGAACGTTGAAAGTAATGTTATATAGCAAATCTAATCAAATTTAATAAACACATGCAGATGGAAAACACTTTTCAAGATATAAGACAATTTGCTGGATGCCATCTGAATCTGGAATTCAAGTTGAAGGTAAAGCGTTAACACGGTGTTTTAATATGTTTCAAATAAGTTAGTTATAGATTTAAATTCAATATATAATTGTGTCTAATCACAATTCTAATCTAGATTGTAGCTTTCATGAAACGATTTGGAAAAGTGGCATTGGGTCTTTCTTTCGGAGGATGCTATTTTCTTACCAAGAGATTTCTCTTTAAAGTAAGTTCTTAAGTAAATTAAATNACCTCTGCTTACAATGTAACTGCATCTAAATCGTAGATTAATCCATAACATTTTATCTCTTAAATTCTTCACATTTTAAGCACAAAATACAGCAAAGAACATATTTAATTCTATTTCTCTCAGAGATATTGACCGTTCTAGTAATCGTTCTTAAATTAATTGGTCCTGTCGACTCTGGTAACGACAGGGCCAACATTTTAATTATTCCGGTTACTTTTCTAACCACGTAAAAGGGGTTCTTTGGACCAATAAAATAAATTGTTACGTCTTTCAAAATCAACGTTTACTGGAGTTCAAGAATTACTCAGAAACAATTAATTCTTAAATGTTTTATTTATATGCATTAGGGATCAAACTCTTGCCGATTCCTCTTCAGTCTACAAAGCATAAAATCGTTCGGTAAATTTACATTTAAAATGTATAACAAAGATATAAAATAAATAAATTACAACATGTACGGTTTTCGATTGAACCCACATCAATAATTTACATTCATCGGAAACAAGCACAAGAATAATTATCCTGCATGCGTAACATCTTATATATGATGTCATTTCAAACGTCATCTATTAACATCCCGCTATTCAGATTAATTAAGTTAGCATTATTTTTAATCGCGATATGTTTTCAAATATTCTCAAATATACATCATTTCTAAGAAAAAAATTCTAATATTATTTTTATTAATTATTTCTTAAAAGTATCTTTAAACTCTCTATATTCAAATACAATTTACATTATTGTTCTAATATCTAATATTACTGGCGTTATTAAATCGAACTTTTGAAAACATTTTTTTAAACACAGAAAAGTAGACCGAAATTTCAATATATTCTCATAACTTAACAAAAATTGTTCGCAGTTCTAATGTATATTTCGTTTTTGGAAAATAAATTAAAAGCTTCAAATATAATGTTTATATTGGTATACGGTGATTATTTATGTTTGAGATGTCATGTTTAATATATTAATAAATTAATGAAGAAAATGTTTAATATTTCCTTTAATTAATTAATGGTCATTCATATGTTCCAGTAATAAATATTCTTCCATGGATAATGAATTTATGTAATAAGTATTTGCAATTAGAACGTCATTACATTTTGATTTGACGTGACTCTGGAATGATTTATTTGGTTACGGGGACACGCGGGCCATCTTCCGAGAGGAATTTCTTTCGGGATGACTTTTATGGAAAACTGGCCTCTATTTAGGTGTTACAAACATAAAGAAACCTGGAAAACTCCGTAATCTCCATTCTTTTTCTGTTCAAATCAAGTCCTCTAACGCAGTGTTTTTCAACCTTCATGAATACCTTTACAAATTAAAAAATTCTGGCGACCCCCCAGGGCCATATTAAAACTATATCAGTGATTTTAAAAACTACGTATTTAATTTTCTTTCTTTAAATATCGATCGAAAAACCAATTGTACTGTAAAATAAACAGGCACAGCCTTCTCACTGAAATTCTAGTTTTTTTTTTTGTAGTGTAGGACCTACAAACACTTGTCTTTTTCTTTTACCTGCGACCCCCTGTGTAAAACTTTGCGACTACTGTGGGGGTTGCTACCCACAGGTTGAAAAACACTGATGTACATAAAAGAAAAAAGTAAACAATCGAGAAAAGTGGCACATCTGTGAGCAATGTCGTTTTCAATAAAACTCAAATTGAAAATGCCTGCCGATATATCAGCAGATGAAAAATCAACAGGGTTACATCAGATTGACAATATATTGTCAGGTTGAATGAGAAAATATATTTTCAGAAAGTATGATTTTTTATNACGCTGAAAGTAATGTTATATAGCAAATCTAATCAAATTTAATATACACATGCAGATGGAAAACACTTTTCAAGATATAAGACAATTTGCTGGTTGCCATCTGAATCTGGAATTCAAGTTGAAGGTAAAGCGTTAACACGGTGTTTTAATATGTTTCAAATAAGTCAGTTACTTTATTTATAGATTTAAATTCAATATATAATTGTGTCTAATCTAGATTGTAGCTTTCATGAAACGATTTGGAAAAGTGGCATTGGGTCTTTCTTTGGGAGGATGCTATTTCCTTACCAAGAGATTTCTCTTTAAAGTAAGTTCTTAAGTAAATTAAATTAGGCGTTAAATTTCTGTTAAAAAAATCACGTAGTATACTAAAAAATGTCTTTAAATTTTATATAATTTATCTTTTTGTAGCTAGCAAAGTCGTTGCATTCCGTATTTTCTTCGTTGTTGAAACTGAAAGGAATCACTTATCAAAACATGAAAACGTGTAACGAATTTTTTACGGGTAATGTATCAGAGTTTTCAAATTTTACTGAGTTTTGAAGCGAGAAATGGGCCACTACTGAGTATGAAATAGAGAATATGAACGACATAAAAACACAGAACTGTATAGAATTAAGTAAACTTTTGTATTTATAAATTGTACGTGGTAATATTAAAACTATTTATTACTTGTATTCGTGAAGCGTTATACTCTTGCAGATATTAGTGTGTTTCTACACATGTCAGTTGTGACAAAAATAGAACAAGTAATTTAGATGAAAATAAAAAAGTACTCTTATAAACAAAATATCATAAACATCTAATTCAATATAAAGAAAAATGAACTTTTTATGTTTCCAACTTTCTTCGAATAACTAAATCCTCAATATAATCACAACAACTTTCATTTCTTTTTCTGTTATCAATATAATTCCATTTTTTAATCCCTTTTTTCAAATACACCGGTAACGGTTTCACATGATTTCATTTGAAAATCATATACATTACTTATATCTGATAATGGTTGCTTAATATCCATTTCATACAGCCAAGTTTCCATCCAACACAATTTCTCACAATTTTCCAATAATCTACTTCACATTTCTTCTTACATCCATTTATATTGCAACTAAGGACTCCTTGTATTTTGTTTCTTTAATGTGTTATACTTACTTCTATAGAAATATGATGTTGGCACACTTTTTCTTTACGTTTACCATCCTCGCGTGCATTTTCTCATATTACAAGTTTATCACCTTTACAGTAGACAGTTTATCCGTTTTCTAGCCTGTTTTATATTCGTAAGAAATTTTTTAAAAATCTCTCCAGGGGATGAAAAAAAGAAAGGGCACTAGTGGTTTTGTGAAAGAGAAGAGAGAATATGGCTGCCTAGTTGTTGTAATTAAAATATGTTCAGTGTTTTTACTACGCCTTTATCTTCTAATCAAGTAACACACCCGATACATACGAGTCGTACAATATTATTCATTTGTTTCCTTGTATTTTCCTTACATTTCAAGGAAAGATCTTCTCAGTCAGTTATCAAAACCATTGCTTTCTTTATTATTACGGACACGTTAACACTAGCAACGTCGGAATTTCTTTATACTAAAAGCTATCGATACAAGTCGTATTGATCAGTAACCGAAAAATTGCAACTAAAGAGTCTGGTGTACCGGTATTTATTTCGACATGTATTTTTAACATACATATACTTCTGGCTCTATTTTTTTCCTCTCAAAAGTCATAATTGACCAAAAATTAACTTATTCTCTTAGTACTTTTTTACTGCGTGTCAAACACTTCGCCCGATTTTCTGCTGTGCATTCTCTAAATTTCTTTCTTCGTTCATCTCTACATTAAATTATACTAGGTTTCTCTTCTTTAGTTATTTTCAATTATATTAACTCTTTTAGTTGAACAAGTAATATCCGTTCACCATTATCTTCATGCTGTTTCTAATTGTTTAATAGTTTCAATCAACGTATTAAACTTTCACGAACTTTCACCGTACGTACAGTAGAGCCTCGATTATCCGACTCAATTGGGGACTGGGGTTGGTCGGACAATTGAAAAGTCGGATAACCGAAAAGTATGAAAAAATCCATTACTAGTGTAGTATATTATTATATCCCATGTAATTAGTGTATTAGTATATCGCTATTAACCTACTTCGCGTTGAATTTTCATCGATGTTAAGCCCAACAAAAATTTTTTAAAATAATAATCGTCGCTATTGTATCGTTAAAAATTAAAAAATTAAGCCTCGTTTAAATACTGGCTCCCTTTCATGGTCGAATGAGTGTTGCCAGCTAAAACGCGTAAAAATAATATTAAAGTAGCCAAGACATAGCCAAATACTGTAGCGCCACATCACTAGCGGACATTTGAAATTTGCCGACTAGGACGGTCGGTTAACCGAGGTGTCGGTTAATCGGGCGTCGGATAATCGAGGCTCTACTGTAATTCCGACACAGTTTTTTAATCCCACCATTGCCTATTTCGTTTCACAGAACATTCTATTTATTTATTCTATTCTTCTATTTACGTTTATGGCAACTTATGAATACGAATGGTAAACTAAATTAGAACAGAGATTTTCTTTTTTGTGAACACACGCAACGCATACACATAAGTTTAGAAACAAGGGGTCTAGATCTAAAACTTTCAAGCCTTACTTTACCTTTATTCCGTAAGGTAAAGTAGGTTTCCTGTTACCTTTTTTCTACCTAGTTATCTTTTTCCCTAGGTTCCCTCCCTCTTTTCACGTACTTGAAATTATGTAAATTAATTTTCTAGATTTCATAATTAAATTAACACGCTTGGCCTCTACACACTTCTCCCTCCTGCCGGCTTGAATGTATTTAAAGTAGTGTGAAAATTTGACTCTCTTATGAGAATTTTAATTAACTACGGAACAAAGTTGTATGTTTCTTTCATCATTATTTCCGTTATTTCTCCCGTTATCACCCCGTTGCCCGAGGAATAGACCCCGGACAATGAAGCGCGTAGTTACTGGAGATCACCTTCTTGACGGACGAAGTCGTCCAAGGCGACAGCGGAAGAAATCCCCTCTCCCCAGGAGACTACTCTATTACAATATTTTACTAATTGGCTAAACCGCAGACACCAACATTTGTTCCTGCGTGAAGAGTGGACAAAAGGTCACCTACTAGGGTCAACCGTACGGTGAGAAACCTTACCAAAAATGGTCAGTCATCTCCCCAGGTGATGACGCGTTTAGTGCACTGGCCAGACATCTCTTGACCAATAAGTGTTGAATTCGCCATAAGATGTCAATAGTGTCGTCACCCACGACGGGGGAGACTGTCATAAATCGGGAGAACTGATATATTGCGTCAACGGAGTCCCGGGATTTCCCACGCTAAAAAAGTATAAAAGAGGAACAATCCGAGGACTCGGGGCGATCATCGGGAAAGAAGACTACAAGTGCCTACTCTACTCTGGGAGGACCTCGAGGTTTCTGATCGCCGATCTAAAAGAGGTAAAGACTTATATTATCATTACTATTTATTTGTTATTGTTTAACTTTAATGTATTCTCATGTATCTGTATTATTTGTTATATAATTAAATGTGTTATTCTTAAATTTAATGACTATCTTTGTATACTGCCGACACCTCATCGCGACTTCATTACGCCTCCCACTCCTTTTTGCCATCCTATAGCCATTCTCTGACAGCCAAACCAGTAAGTGTGGAGAACCTCTCCGCTTCAGTCCCCTCGGTAGCGCACAGTAGTATTTTGCTTTAGTTACTTATCCTAGTACAGGAAGCGTGAGACTTTTAGGCCACACGTGACCTTCTTTGGCTTTTAGTTCGGCCTGATAAATAAATAAATAAATGAAAGTAAATGGTGTAATATAGAAATAACCTTTGGAAACTTGTTATACTTTATAGATAAATAAAGAAAAATACATTTTTGGAACCCCACGCTAAAATATATGTAAACAAAAACGTGCGCATTATACTCGAATTAATATTAATTTTAACTTTTCTTCTATTTTAAATTAAAAAATTTTACTTTATAAATTTGAGATATCGTTAAAATATTTCTATCTATTTAACACAGAATTAATTTAAAACAGTTTTTAAACTGTTTTATAAACTGTGTTAATAAAACAGTTTTTTAAACTGTGTTAATAAAACAGTTTAAAAACTGTTTTATTATAAATTTTTGTTACCCTTTTTATTAATTCATATAATAAAGTATGAGATTTAAGTTATTAAACGGTTTTAACGCTGTACACGTGTAAAAATTAAAATAATTTAAGCCACTTGTGTTCTAATTTTAATCATTCCTATACACGATTAAATTTTATAACATTTCCTTGACCTTAAAATTTGAAGCTTTCTAATAAAAATATATTTTAAATATGGTTCTGTTGATTTGTTTGGGATTTTTTCACATCAGTTTGATGTCACCTATCCAGTTTTACAGTGAGAAATTTAAAAAATGACGTCAGATTTACGAAAAGATGTCCTTTATCTTAACAAGTCGAATTTTAAAATTGATATTGGCCATGAAACTCCTATCAATGTAAATAAAATCTAAAGAATTTTCTAGTTTCTATTCAAAACAAATTTTAATAATTGTGTTCTACGCTATATTATTCTCTCTATGCTTTAAATTCACGTGGAAATTATGCAGCTGTTAGTAATTAAACTATCAAACATCTAACGAACATTTGTGTGTTTACCCATTTGAAAAGGCTTTTATAAAACTAAGCAAAGTTTTAAATTTTGGTGTTTACACTCTACCATATAATTTTTATAAATTTAATATTTAATATATGAATATCAGTTAATATATTATATTGATTTTATATTTCGAACCTTAAGCCTGAGGGAGTACTTAACTAATAGCTGATTGGATAATTATCTGCTTGGTAACTAGAATTTTTATAGGTTTATTAATATTGTTAATATCAAGATATAATTATTTAAATTAATTTAATTTACTTCATTTGTATATAATCTATTGAATTATTATTCATACAATTTTTACAATTTAGAATGTTTAAAGTAATGAAAGTCTTTACCAATCTTCGTGGCCAAAGCGTGGTACGCGAGCTACCTTTTGCTCTCGAACGTTATGGACTCGTCCGCGCAACACGTCACAATTAAAAATGTTTTAACTCAGATGACATCACTATACTTTACAAAAATGACAAAAAATATGTTATAATAAATTAACTAGTTTATACTAAATCAGTTTTCGTACAGTAAAGAGCCTTATCTAATGAATAACAACTAAAGTAGTAACATATTTTCAGAGACATAAAAGTCCTTTTACTTTAAACAGCATGAAGCACAGCACCTTAATTATAAAATATATAACTCTAGTTTTCTTTCTAAAGCTCTATATTATATGTGCTCGGGCAGTATACCAAGCCGATTATATAATAGGTAAGCTATTTCTATGGTATTATTTATAAATATTTTAATTCCCCTTCAAATAGAACACAGGGAAAGTATTGTAATCGGTGAAATTTTCACTGCTTTTCATGTGTTTTTGCATCTCCATAAGTACTAAATTCTAAAAATGTTTTATTTTTCCTATTGTAACACACTGTATAACAGAGGAAAAGTATGGAGATCAGTGAAAAAATGAACCATATTTTTGCATTTTTTTTTTATCAAGGAACCTTGAAACTCTGAGAAATGCAAAAATATTTAAGGATTTTTTACACACGCGAAATGGGAAGCGTGGTTTTTCTCTTCCCATTTCGAAACTTAATAACTCCTGTGCCTTTTGTCAAAAATTTCTGAAATTTAGCTGGGAAGTTTGGGTATTAAAGTCTTTGATGCCGTCAAAGTTTTGTGGTTAAAGGTGGAAGGGATGGGGAGATAGAAGGGATCGTGTGTCATATCTCGAGTATGGTCGGACTTAATAACGATTGTACTCGTTATCTACAATTTTTTTTTAATATAAAAACTCATTTGTACTATCAAAATTAAGCTCTTGGCTAATTTATAATAATTAATTACATAAACATTTAAAATGAAATCTGATAATGGATGGCGCCACATAACTTATTATCTGATATATTTAAATAGCCGTAGAAATTTAATCTAGATAAAGACAAACTATTTTTTAAAATAATTTACTGACTTTAACATTACGTAAAGTGTGCTAAACAATTTTATATGTATATAATTCTCATCATTCCCTTTTGTTTTCCTGATTCAGAGAGAGTTCTCGGGAATCCCTAAGGCATCCCGTATTAATAATGTATTAACCGTGTTTAAAATAAACAAAGCCTGAAGCAAGTCACGTAATTGGACCTTCTTCAACTTCCGGTAGAACGTGGAAGTTGTGTTAATAGTCAATGAGAAAAACATCGTGTGTATCAGTCACGTTTCTTTAAATAACTATATTGTCTCATAAAATTGTTAGGATATATTATTGTTTTATACATAAAACTACATTTAATTCGATTTCCTTCACCATTTCTTTGACGCTTTTTTTTAAAGAAAGTGCAACATTCCTCTTTTATTCTCACTTTGTTTGCTTTGTTTACGTTTTACCGGAAGTTAAAGAGGAGCCAATCAAGTGACTTGCTTCAGGCTTTGTTTACTTTCAGACACGGTCAATATACAGCTAAACTATGAACTTTTTGACTACGTTTTCATGCCCTTAACGAAAACTCCCAAAAATATTTAAAAATGAATACAAATTGAAAGCAAAAAATAAACAGTCTAATCAATTTAAAAATTCTGAAAGTGACAGTTAATAAAAATGGAAATATTAATGATATTTACGAATAAATAATGTTAAAGAACGAATTACTACAGTATTTATAAACAGTCCTTTAATCTAATCCTAATTGGTAGTATTTTTAGTATTTGGGTATTTTATCAAAATTTCGAATACTTTCTAGTAGTATTCGAACATTTCAGGATATTATTTGCCTATTTATAATATAAAATTCACGTGGTGTTTCGAAACGCATTTACCAATGTCTTCCGCCATATTGAAAGATTGATGCGCCACTAACGTCAGATGTGTGCATCTACTATAAGCGACATATATGAAGGCTGTAATAATGTAATCTCTCAGAATTACATAAGCAGGCTAATATGTTGGACTTAGCATTCTATCTAATACCCAAAAATATACATATTCATATTGCAACTTCTGTTAGATGTTTTCAATATCTAACTCGTCACCGTTATGGAGTATTATTTTAAATAGAAATTCCTTATTTTAGTATACATAAAAAGAAAACGTAACATTTTAAGTCAAGGTAATTGTCATTCGCATATTTATTTATTTACAAATTTAAAACGAATTGTAAAATAAATTTTAAAAATTGTCGAAAGTTCAGATTCACAGAATAAGTTTATAGTATTTCAATATGGCGGCATTTCTGGTAGGTTCTAGTCAATTTTGTTAAAAATTAGAAAAATGTTTTCTTATTTATAATTTATTTCTATCTCGAAAAAGTTAAAAACTCTTTCTTTCATACTTGATTTTATTGGATAAAATACAATTTATATTTTATTACTATACGATTAAACGCCGGCTATTTATTTATTGCAGTTGGCGCAGGAACAGCAGGATCAGTTTTAGCCAATAGACTTTCCGAACCACCGCATGTTACAGTTCTTGTGTTAGAAGCAGGAGATATGGCTCCTCTAACCTCTGAGATTCCACTTATTCCTGTAAATTTAGCTTTTACAAATTACAGTTGGCAATTTAAAAGTGTACCCAGTAAAACCATAGCTCAAGGTCTTAAAAACAGAGTAAGTAATCAATAATAATAAATTTCCAGGGGTGCATATACACCTAAATATTCATTCAAATTTATTCTCTTCCAGCAACTGTTAACTGTGGAAGGTAAAGCGCTTGGGGGAACCACAGTTTTAAATTTTAACTTATTTGTGCGTGGAGATTACGACAATTGGGCAAGACATGGTGCCATAGGTTGGGATTGGAAAAGTGTCTATCCTTATTTTCTAAAACTGGAAAACAATCGAGAATATTGCAATGGTAAATCTTTCTTCAATTGTGCTAAATTATGTTTATAAATCGTATAGCGATTTAATGACAATAATGTACAATACAGTATATCACGGTGTTGGTGGAAACGTTATTGTGCAGACACCACCTTTCCATGCACCAATAACGAAAGGTTATTTAGAAGCAGCCATAGAAATTGGATATACTCCTGGAGACTTTAATGCAAAGAATCAAACAGGTACAGCATTTCGTAATAAATACTGTTTGAAATATTTTATTGTATTTTTAGTTTTATATTTAAATACTACCACTTTTGAAGTGTAAAAATCGAAAGCGTACGTACAATAGAAATCTGTAAGATTTTATTCGTAGAAGAAACAAAATAATTTTCGGAAAAACATAAAATATTTATTTGATGGAAGTAACGTCTATTGTATTTTCAAAATGTTGGCTATATTTTTAAATTTGACGAAGATTCTGAAATAGGAGGCATTATATGCCCTACTTTAATTCATATTTACAAAATATATGACATAAAAAATGTTTCAGTGTTTCAACCTCCTCAAGGAACTGTTAATAGAGGAGCACGCTGGAGTGCAGTTAAAGCATATATTAATCCTGCACGAGGTCGAAGAAATCTTTGGATCTTAACTTCAGCATTTGTTCACAAGGTAACTTACATTATCTTACACTATGGTTTAAAGGAGAGTGAATAGCTGTTTATATTTATAGATATTGATCCGGAATAAACAAGCTTACGGAGTTAAGTTCGAGCACTGTGGACAGTTGCACGAAGCTTATGCTAATAAAGAAGTGATTATATGTGCTGGGGTATTTAACTCACCTAAACTCTTAATGCTATCAGGAATTGGGCCAAAGAGTACTTTACGGAAGTTCAATGTAATAAATATCTTATTCTTAATTTTTCTCTTGTTTACATAAAAATATAAAGTGCAATATGAATTTTTAGATTCCTGTTGTAGCGGATTTACCAGTTGGAAGAAATCTTCAAGAACAGCCATCTACTTTTGGTATGGCATTTGGAGCAAACACTTTTACTTATTCTGCACGACGGATCACACTAATGGACTTTAATGAATTCTTAGTCAATGGCACTGGTAAAATCAAAATAAAAATGTTAAAATTGATTCTGAATACATTTAAATATTTATTTTTTTTATTTCAGGTCCACTGACATCTTTGGGAGGAGTTGACACGATAGGATTTGTAAATTCTAAATATAATAACGATCCTGATTGGCCAAATATCGAATTATTGCTGTTTTCTTTATCAGGTGCAGTTAAAAGCACAGGTTTAGGATCCGTGTTTAATCTAAACGATGAAGTAAGTTTATTTTATATTTTTCCATAAAGATTTTATAGTGTATACACGAACGAATTATCTCGATTGCATTTGTTTATACACTATACTTCAACGGCGCATACAGACTAAAAAAATGGAGAGGGGACAAGCTATAAAAAATGCATCGTACATTAGACAAGAAGCTTCAAACTGATTCAATATCGGTACAGCGCTCCCACAAGGTTTCGCTAATTGCAATGTGGATTTGTCCTTGAAAACAATGAACATTGTTGTTTTCAAAGCCAAGTTTTAGTAACCATACGACAAAGTTGCATGAGACAATAGGCATATATCTTTTTTAGTTTTTTTTTCTATATTTGCAGAATAGGCTTGAAGTCATGAATCTTCTGTTGTTTTTAATAATAAAATTTGTGGTTTACTTTGAATTACAAGAAAAGCACTCTTGACGAAATGGGGGCACATACTCCAAGTGCCCAACATACGGTACCTCTGCTATACATGATTGCATGTTGTAGTTCTTCGGTGATTCTTGTGCTAAGAGTATATTTTTCACTATAATACAAGACATATCGATAAAGGACAGAACATTTTTTTTAATTTTTTATGCCAAATAATCATTATAAATATTAACTGCAATGAACATGAATTCGTTAGCAGAAAATATTATGGATATAGTCACTGTTGTATGGAAAGAACTATAATGCCATATACTGGTACAGTATTATGTAAATTCCTAGAATTTTATAAAAATCTACAATGGGAATTTGATCTCTAATAAAGAAGGATATTTTAATTTCGATACTCGTTATTACTTTATTTAAACGTTGAGTAAATTTAAAAAGGATGTATTTTCATACAATTGTAGGAATTATTTTTAGAACTCGGTATAGTAATCGGAACTCGGTATAGAACTCGGTCTTATACTAATTTATGATAATATTAAATTAATTATCCCTTTATTTATAAATATAAATAATGACCTAAGGTACTGTATATTAATAAATTGTGTTACTATTGGCTCATTGAATTCTTAATTTTCGTTCTTTTTATTGTTTTTTGTTTTATTTAAGAACGTATTTATTTATTTCACTTTCATTAATAATGTTGCCAAATCGTTTTACAATTCGAACCTCCTCACTAAAACAGATTACAAGTAAATATTCATTGCACAGGTATTGAGTAAAGGTTTCGTTAAGATTTAAGATATTAAAATCATATATTTTTTTTCATTTAGGTGTATAAGACAATCTTCGAACCATTTACATCGATTGACACAATATCGTGTTTTCCATATCCAACACGTCCAAGAAGTAGAGGATATGTTACTATCAGATCTCGTAATCCTTGTGATGATCCTATTATTGATTTCAAATTTTATTCGAATCCTCACGACTTAAAAGTTATGGTCGAAGGTAAGATTAATACAATTTTCTTGTAATGAAGGCGTATAATTCAATGACGTGTTAAATCATTTAAGATAAATAACTTAATACCTCAAATTTTAGCTTTGAAGTACTGCCTGAAGATAGGAAATTCTTAAGCATTGAAGAAATATGGAGTTTATCCCCTTCCGGCAACTGTCCCCGGTTGCGAAGGTTATGAGAAATTCAGTGACGAATATCTCGCTTGTCTAGCAACAACACTACCATTTACAATATACCATTATTGCGGAACGTGTAAAATGGGAAGTTATAATGATCCTACGACTGTGGTTGATCCAACGCTCAAGTAAGTTCTCTTCGATTAATTTAAGAATATACAGTATTTATTATTTAACATATAATTAACAATAATAAAACTCGTTACTTAATTTTATAGTATTAAGGTCTTTCATTATAACGTTATCTGTTTCATAAATCGGATTATAATAGATTCTAAATGAAATAAGAATACCAGCGTAATTTCTATGGGGTGCAGTCTTCTTCCGGTTACGTTATATAGCGAGTTATACTAAATTTATCTAAAATTTTTGTGCAGTATTTCAGCAGAAATATATTATGTCTTATATTTTGTCAAATTTGCTGGTGTTGTAACTACAATATTTGATAATTAATATATTTGTGAATTTATATCAATAAGTATTTTGAGAATGTAGTAGTTGTGGGAATCCATATATTAAAGAGGCAAAGGGGAAAATTAAAAGAAGCAATAATTAAGTTACTCAAGAGTGTCGTTGACACATTTGAAGCACGGATTCAGCAAAGAATTATATGTGTAAAAAAATGGAACGATGCCAGGGGTCAGCAAACACAGCTCGTCACTCTGAAGACAAAAAAGCAGTGATTTTTGTTGACTGATCGATAGAACTGATTTTCTAATGCTAGAAACTAAAGAACAGTAAGGAGTAAAAATGGCAGAATTTGAAGCAGTATAAAATCCTGAAAATGTCATCATATTGTAAATATGACAAGTGATGTTCAGGAGGAATGTTTCTTTTTATAAGATACAAACTGCAGATTATTTTTGAGTTGAAATAATCAAAAGATAAAGTGCTTCTTTCCAGAACAAAGAACAGCGTGTGTTGTAGCGATGCAGCAAAAAAAAATGCAAAAAATACAAGAATGATATGTAACATTTTTTGAAAACTGGAGCATGCTATGAATAAAGGTTTGTTCCCAAAGATCGAAAAAACTTTATCAAATCTCTTCTTTTTACAACTAGTTTGGCCATTACAAAAGAAACCGAAAGGAAGATCATCGAAATTGAAAATTTTGTGTCTACTACACTCCTTAAAAGTGAAATCGTAAGACCACAAAGGAATGCGCATACCCCATTGCCGTAACCATATAGCATATGGTATCGGCAAGCATCGTCAAAACTAAAAATCTTGCCGGCGCAGCCTGTCGGGTCGCCTTCCGGTTACTTTTACTACCGAAAACGAACACCTGATCATCTTCTTGCACGGTAAATACATTACACAGATTGCCGTGTAAAAAATAATCGCGTAAAAATGTACATGCACAGTATAAGCATCTCGCAGGATAATCCTCGATAGGATCTACGACTTCGATGGAATAAAAACTAAATAATTTACAAAAGAAACACGGGTTTTTTTAGATGGGTTACTGTACTCGTTACAATGTAGGTCGAATGAACCTCAGAGCAACGATAAATTTTTAGTCGCTTACTCCAGGAAATTGAATCACGACTATACAGTTCAAGTTACAACCGTATGATATTGTGAACTGCCGGGGAGGTCGGGAACCGTCGACTTTCCCTTTTCTGCTGCAGGTCATTAAACCTGCTCACTTGTCAAGATGGCAAAATTTCGAATGCGGTCCCGAATGGACCTCTCTCACCTACTCCACTCGACCTGATACCTTTTGTCAGGTCGAGTGGAGTAGGTGAGAGGGGTCGTCGACGAGGCGTAGGCGATATGCGAGTAAATGACACCATTTAACAATGGAAACAACGATTTATTGGATTAACGAAAAAAAAAAAATTTAAAGAATACAAAATCTAACATCGGGAGGAAATGAATTTAGGTCCCTAGTTCCTAACTCACGGAGAGAGAGTTTACATTATTTGTTTCATACCTCTAGTAGATTCAACGTAGGCACAGAGTTCGACGCACAAAGTAAAAATTCCCGGAGACTTAATCCTTTCAGACCATAGATGTGAGACTCCCCCGCAGAGGGGGAAAGAAGTAGCTTTTATAGCTTCGGGCTGGGGAAATTAGTCAGGTGATCCCCTATTGTGAGAGGTAGAGTTGGTCCTGCAGGTGTGGAGGTTAAAGTTGTTCCCGGGACCAAAACAAAATGACGAATTCGGNGAAAGAAGTAGCTTTTATAGCTTCGGGCTGGGGAAATTAGTCAGGTGATCCCCTATTGTGAGAGGTAGAGTTGGTCCTGCAGGTGTGGAGGTTAAAGTTGTTCCCGGGACCAAAACAAAATGACGAATTCGGGCTTTAACTATAAACTTTTTTGTTTTGCAGCAGAGGAATGTCATTGTTCGAGGGTTGAATGTTTATATTAAGGAAGAAAGTTATAAGTTTCTGTCGATATTTGATTCTTTTTTCCGACAATGTTATTTTAACGAGGAGGTGACAAATTTATTTCAAATACAGTAGAGCCTTGATTATCCGACCACCGATTAACCGACACCTCGGTTAACCGACCGTCCTAGTCGGCAAATTTCAAATGTCCGCTAGTGATGTGATCGCTACAATATTTGGCTATGTATTGGGTAGTTTAATATTATTTTTACGTGTTTTAGCTGGCAACACTGGATCGACCATGAAAGGGAGCCAGTATTTAAACGAGGCTTAATTTTCTAATTTTTAACGATACAATAGCGACGATTATTATTTTAAANAAATGGACGAGTATCTTGTTCAGGATATTGATGAAATCTTCGTAACGATGATATTTGGCGGTCAGGTCCTTTGCTGCCAGGTTAGTGGAATCTAGGCGAATATTCTGAGCGGTGAATAGCAGTTCGACACGTGGATTACCTTCCTTCTGGAATGAAGAATCACTGTTCTTGTCCAAATAAAATATGATTAGTATCATTTTATGAAACGAAGAATATCCTTAGTCTTGAGGTATGTAGATACATAACATATAGGGATTTACTCTCTCTCTCATTATTTCTAGTTCTTAATATTATGGCTAAACTTACTTACTATGATACCAAAAAATAGTTTACCGAACAAAGTTAAAATTAAAGTAAAGCTATTATCGATTATATGCCGTTTATTAATACGCGAAACATCCGAGAAAGGCTTATAAAAGCTTTATGTGACAACCAATATAATATGTTTAAAGTAATAAAATAGGGTGAGTAGTATGGTCAGTCGTGAGACTCTTAATAGGTTAAAACAACAGAGGTCTGAGGTCGTTGAATGGCATTGCCTCGGGGTGTCATTTCCTGGGATGTGCCCGGATATGTATCGGTTGGCCTTTCCTTTTCGTTTAGAGTGGTCTCTTCTGGGTTATTTTCCTGTGTGTATTGTTGACCCGGTGGCTTAGTTTTTCTGCGTTGTGTGCAGTATCGGACAGCGCCAATGAGGCATATTCCAATTAACAATGTACCAAGACAACTACTAAGCGCAATTATCCATGAAGAATAAGTTCCAGACGATGGGGTCGTCGATAGCCGTATCAGTTCGTTTAAGTCATATTGGACGTTTTCTAAAGAACGATCGGCTAATTGAATATCCTCATTTGAAGTTACTTGGTGGATTCCTCGCTCTTGCAGGTGTTTTTCCAGTATTTGCACCTCTGTTTGATTTATAAGATGGTCTATTTGCGGAACTACCAAGTGTTGCGCAAGTTCATGGTGTACTATTGATCGGCCTTGAAAAGGTGAGGTAAGGATAAATCCAGGTAAATACCCTGTACACGCGTTTGGGATATTAATTATTCCGGTATGATTTAATTTGTAAGTAGTGGATATAGAAGAAGGGTTTGTATGCCCCGATGGACATCTAATTGTTAGGGTGAGAGGATATTGCATGGAATAAATCCATGATCCTCTTAGGTCAACCTTTTTAAATATCGGCGCATACTTGATAACGATTTGGCGAGTGCAAAGGTCGAATTCAAAGGTCTTTGACTTTGGTTTCCATGCCTGTAAATAAGGCATATTCACAACTTTTTTGAGGGAAGCGCTGGATAGGAACATCCAATGAACAAACAGGGAGACGATCCACTTTGCACATAGTTAGGTCGTATCGTCGTAGCAACATATAGGACTGTCTGTCCATAGATAGGGCGACGATTGGGTATTCAACTTGAAATTGGATAAAGGTTTTTAAAACAGGTACGTAGGTCGGAAACTTTACAATTTCGTATACATCAAAATATCCATGAGGCGTTATTAACGGTATCTTAGCGAAAATTCTCAACTTGTTAGGTAAAGCAACAGCAATGGTAGTAATCCATTGGTAATACTTGAATAACGTATCTTGTTTAATAGGTTCGATCATTGCGTACCCCTCCGGCAATTGCAATTGGATGTTTTGGAGGGTACGTAGCATAATGTCGCGCGGGATAAAATAGGTGCTTAACTGGTTATGCTCCAAAACATCAATGGCCTCTCTTAACTCTACCAGCTGGAAATGGAACTCTTGGATAGAAAACTCGATTATTCGGAGAATAGTTTCAAATGCGAGGCCATACCTGTAAAGATTCATTAGTTCCCCGAAGGATTCTTGCCTTTTTAATAGTATATAAATTTGATGCCGATTATTTTTACTGATGTTTAAGGTGTCATTTAATAGGGTGGTTTGTGAATGTAATAAATGTAGGATGCCTTCGTTACGCTGTTTAATCTTGGAAATTTCGTCATTTAAGGTCTGAATTTCCTCCGAGGTGGCGGTGCCAAAGAGAAATTTCAGGATTTTTCCTCCCGCATCTATTAAGCCTCGCTTCTTTGTCTGCGAGGGCCGTATAGTAATTAGGTTAGTGAGCTCTTGATATTCTTTATGGTAATTAAGGAAAGAGGTTCTTACTATTTCAAAGCCTTNTAAATATTTAAACAAAAGCAATACTATAGCAATTATATATTGTTGAGTTGAATTTATAGAACTACATAACGTGTTTTAATTGCTTTCTCTTGGCTGTATTCCTGCATTCTCACTTGAAATTATAATTTTAAGAAAATTTATAAATGTGATGTGACCAGCGTGAATCTTATCAGTCGCATTAATGGTTCGTTGTTTAAATGAGTTTGACACACCTGACCTAACAGATTCAGAAACCAGTTGCTTAACTTTGCCGGCCTCATTTGGAAGCGCCATCTGTTATGACGTTTTATTTTTAAAAAATCTGTTTTAACTATTATAAAATGACAAAAACCTTAATTTTCAGGGTAGGGAAGAGTTTTATAAAAAACTGTAAATGTCCGACTCTATGGCAGATACACACGACTCCTATTATCTCCCCACCCTCTCGACCTTTTACCACCAAAATTTAACAGCATCAATTCCCACAATAAACAAACCTCCCTGCGAAATGTCAGAAATTTTCGACAAAAAACACAAGAGCTATTAAGCTTTAAAGAAGGTAAAGAAAATCGTGCCCCACACACTCACTAACATCCATACAAACAGAAAAACTCTACTTTTTTTTTGCATTTATCGATGGTTATAGTTTCCCTGAAATTCCGTTTGGCCTTAGAAATTATGTAAATGTTCGAATATGATGTAAGTTCGCCGATTTTGGGGGCAATACGTTAATTGCGCATCAGGAAAACCTAGGGTCAAACTGTATGTGGGTGGTGGCGGTAGGAGACAGAGATGACAAGTGTCTTACACGAAAACCGTTTATTTTGACATAAGGTTAACTCACATAATGACAATAACAATGCGATCTAGATCGACTTTGGTGGGAGCTCCTTGATGTCGACGAACGGGCGCTGACTTGTGTTCCAGGCTTGACAGGAGAGTGTCCGTTGCACAGGAGCCTCTGTCCGGTAATGCGGATGCACGGAGATTTTGGTCACTGGTGGAGAACCTGGGTCCGAGTGGAGAACTGCGGAGAATCGGCTGGGAGTTTCTCTTCGGAGAGAAGCGGCTGAGAATCTCTTTTTGACCTTGAGACCCGGGGGTTTTATAGGATTTTCCCCAAATCTCATCCTCTTGATTGGTCCCGTTCACCCTCTCCCTTACTCCGATTGGTCACTCTTTTTGTTTCTAGGCGAAACCCGAGACCGATCCGGGTCGGGAAAACGTCGGAGAGGTGATGACGGTCTTTTAACGTTCGCGCTCGTATTTTACTCCGTTATGTCCCTTTTCTCTGTCATCTTTGAACCCAAACGGTCCACCAGATGTTCTTGTGGCCATTTATCCCCTACCGCGTTCTTACTTAACAGATGTCCCTTTTGTTCTTAGACCCCCCTTTCTCTCGCTTGCTTCGACCCGATATTTGTTCGCGCGCATCTCGACAAAGCTCTCCCTTTCTCTGTCGACATTCCCCCCTGTTATTTATCGTCGCGTCGCGTTTGTTTTACAATTCGAGAAAGTTTTCGTCTCATCTGGGTTTTGTGACTAACACATCCCCTTGACCCGATTCTATCTTCGAAACTCTCTGACGTTAAAGTTTGTAATTTGTCGTAATTTCGACGCGGTTTTACGACCCTCACAATGATAAACAATTTTCCTGGCATTATGAAATGCATTAAAACCTGTCTAAAACGGAAACCTGAACCCGTAGAAAACGAAAGTCTGCCAAAGCGGAAAAAAATATTCCTTACCGCGCTCATCCGTTTTACACAGGTTTTTCTGTAAATAAGTTTTACACAAATAATCTCGCAATTATAAACGAAAAAAATTGACGTTTCGCAACCATTCAGCTTAATTAATTAATTAAAGATGGCGACCAACAATGAAATATCGAACAATTCCTTAGTTTCGAACGTTGGACGTTCCGACCAAAACGTCACCCATTACGTCGAAATATGTCGGACCTCTCTCCTTCCTCATTCCGCCATCCATTTTGGGCCTTTATTGGCTTGAGAAAATGTCAACAGGGAATGCAGGCAAAACCACGGGTTTAATGTTGATGGAACCGGTTTGAAAACATGGGCAAGAAATCGAAACCAGTGACATTATCTAATACTGTTCTCGCGATTACAAAAGGACAGGAAAACACACAGACGACAGTCAGAATTTATGTCTACATTTTATTCCAAATTGCAGCCCAACTAAATTAATTTCTTAACAATAAATAACACGTGTTATAAATTTTTAAAATTTACACGTGTTATTGAATATGTACAAAGTGTGCAAATACATTAAAAATTAATGAATTTTAGCAAATATGACAAGTAAAATACCCTCTACAAACAGTTTATAAGTTGAATTTACATTTTCATGTAAATCAAAGACATATAAGATTAGAATTGGGCGTTCTTCGCTTTATTTTTGCTTAAACACTAAAATTGTAATGAATTTTAGAAATAAAATGTTAAGGAGTGAAGGAGGATTCAGTTGTTGTTACATTATAACTAGAAATGCTACATTTATCCGTATTTCCAGCTAAAATGTCACGGATTTGTAATAGCATGTCGAATATACCGTAAAGACTTTGGAACACCTGAAAAAAAGAAAACAATAATTATCAATAAAATAAAAGTTATAAAATAATCAAAAATCTTATAATAGTAATCATAAAAAAATGAACGTCCAGATGGAAAGAGGACTAAAAGAGAAAAGTACCCTGTGCCTGGAGCAAGTGAAAATCCTACACAATGCTTTTTACCTGTAATTTCTTTTATGTATTGTACTTTGTACTCCTTTAAACTCTGGACAGCCCTTCGTATAAATGCGATTAATTACGTTTACCTGAACAGGACATTCTTTCGACATTATAAAACAACCTCCACAATCGAGTCCAATTTCTTCTTCACGAAATTTCTTCATGAAATTCAACATCTGTTAAAGTGTATCCTCGTTAACGTAAATAGCCTTTTGTATAACGATGCTGAATATTCTTACCTTTAATTTATCTTGTAAACGTCGAGAACAAGCTCCCAATCTTCTAATTTCTTGGAATGAGTCGTAGGCCTACGAAATAGTGTTATGAAATTATTTGTTTTAAACGATGTCGTTGCCTCAAACACGTGTAATTTAATATACAAATTAAAACGGATACTTACAGATGCTGCCACTCTCGAAACGGCAAATGAAATGATACACAAGCTTACACTTGACAAAATTGTAATAGCTATCATCATTATATGAAGCTTACTGTTAAGTACTCGGAATAAAATAGAATAGAAGCAAATCGACACAATCGTAATGGCCACCCCGTATAAGAAGAGAAGAATTTCACTAATTTTGTCATTCAGATAATCTATGAAATCGCAAAGTTCCGCATGCTTGGCTATTAAATTATCTATTTTTCGCTTGTTCCAATCAACTTTTGCGAATTGTAAATCGAATGAAATCGCATCGAATCTTTCTTTAACGGCAAAACATAGTACGCATGCAGTTGCAAACAAAACTAATATGATGGCGCATTCGTATATGACGCATATGTTTAGAAAAACGCTGCAGATTACACTACGCCAATAACCGCTTACTTCTTCGATTTTCACACTGGACCACACCGAAATGGTAATCGTCATGATGGTAGCCACGACGAAAAATGCGCTACCCACACAAAGGTGGACTACTTTCTGAAAGCTCAATAATTTTTCTCTTTCGCCTGCGTAACTAGAGAGCTTTAGATTAAGCATTATTTTCTGTTTTTTCACAGCGTAGTGAACGGCAGCACTATAAAATGCATTAGACATAAGCAAGGATCTAACAAAAGGCATGCTCTGTTTTTCGGTCAGTTTATGTGTGGCACTACACCCGATTGTTTTGTTATCTGTGGGGAAAAGCTGGATAGCTAAGAGAATGAAATGCCCTACAAAAATACTTTGCGCGAATAGAAAACAAATTCGCATAAGCTTTGCCTTGTTGTTGCTTTGTGGCCTGCATTGACAAGGCTCGAAGTATAAGTCTCCAAATATGTAGGATAAAGATACCGAAGGTAAGAGAGAACAATATAAGCATTCTTCTCCCATTGTGAATGGCAATGATTAAAATTTTGTTGTATTGTTATAGAACATAAGCAACTATATTATTTATATAACACAGTACTGTAGTCTACTGTTTCATTCGAACGGTTGTCTATATCGTTATTAACGTCCAAGCTATTTCAATTACTTAACGTGCCATACGGAAACGAATTTCCAATAATATAAATATAGAAGCAAACCGATAATACATCAAATTAAATAATACAGATATGAAACAGTCGCTTGATACAAGTATTAACTCATAATTTAAGTAGAAGAATGTAAAATGTGACATTCTGTTATTTGTAATTTGTTATTAGAAGTTACGTAAATACTTCAAGAATGCTGTTAAATATATTAAATGCGTATAGTATGTATTTAGTTATATAGAACATTGGAAATATCTATTTAAAATTTTTTAAATTACAGAATATAATAGTAAAAATACTTTTATTTCTATAATTAACATTTCAACGGAATTAAACGCATTTATACTTATTTAGTAATCACTTAAAGCATTATTTATTTTCTAACAAACAAAATATTCATTATAAATATTGGTCTATAAGGCATTTCTACAGTGTTAAATCGTAAAAATTTGCTATTTTGTTGTTTGAAAATATTTTTTACAAAAAGAAAATAATCGAAATGATAAACAAGCAACGCTAGGCTCATCTGCTAGTAATATAATAAATGATTTTTATCTAGATACGATACCTCTGAACCAATTTCAAAAGTTATTATACAACTACAGATATAGAAGAAAAATATCGTATGAGGCTATTCAATAGTTAGGTCTTAGGTCACGGAGGAATATGCTCATCAGATAATATGAGTCCTGCTCAAAGCAAACAAACAATACAAATTTACACTACACAAAACTGCGGTGTCACATGTTACTTTGAGCGTCGTAATTATTGTAAATAGGGAAACAGAAAAAACGAGTCTCTTTTCTGTTTACTATAAAAATAAAGAAATGAACCATCTAACGAATCAACTCTATTCCAAAGTCGAAATTATAAGATGATTCTTTCATCCTTATGAAACGGTTCAAACACAACATCCATGCTTTTCAATGAAAATATCTTTAAAAAACTTTATCCGTATAGGTTTTACCAATTTGTAAATATCTCTCTTTACAAAGTTGCACAGAGAAGATTAAGAAAACTATTGCGTATATCCAGTGTACCAGAGCTCCTTTAGCTGCCACTGGATAACATGAAGTGACGTTTCCACTACCACTTTCCAGGACGAGGACCTAGGGGTAGGATTTTGGGAAGCAGTTTAGGTGTTATGTGACGGTTTGTTTATGGTAACGAAGCTTGATATGTTTGACGTAACGAACAAACTAGATAATAATTCATGTGACATAACTAGATAATTGTGAGTGTTATCGTGAGATGTGTTTGTAAGGATGTGTCGTAATGAGACAGATAAAACCGTCTAATGGTAATGATATTCGCGCCGCAACTTCTTTTTCTACTTCGCCTTTAATATATTAAAGCCTGAGTTAAGTCATGGACCAAAGACTTAAACGTCTTTATATATATATCTATCTACCACTCCTCTGCAAACACCGTCCTCACACCGTCAATTCTTTTTCGCAGGTCGCCATTGACTTTGTTTTCTTTCGACATCTTTCTGGGTCTAAAACTCGTGCCGATTGATGAATTAATACTTACCTCACGCCGGGGACAGGTTATTGCATTCCAAACTGGGTCAGATAGAGCGTGTAATTTTTGGTATATCTGTTGCTAAATAGCAATCCTGTAATAATAAATGACATATCAATTACGTAACGATATGAACAATCCTTGGATTTGAGTTATCGGCTTCCACTTCAGATTCCAAGCTCCCGGGCACTCAACAACTGTATGAAATTATTACACTAGAAATCTAACGGCCCTACGGCATTCTGAGATAAAAATTCCTAAACAAACGGTTTTAGAATGCAAGAATCATCTTTATTGTTTCTGTAATAATAGCATGAAAACAATTAACGAAACAATTAGTACATTTTCAAGTGAATTATATGAATTACTAATTTTGTCTTTTGTCTCAAAATTACTAGATTTTTACATAGTATTTGAATAGTTGAATATTAGTTTGTCTTCATACAGTTTCAAATACCTGACATGGTTTATATAACATAATGTTTCGTGTGATAAGCAAGATGACACATTATTAAAAGAAAGAAATTTTTGTGAAAAGAAAAACTGTTGATACGGTAGAATATAAGAAAAAAAGGGTATAAATAAGTGTGCTTAAGACCACTCTTCTTTAAATGTCAGAAATAAACTAATAAACTTTTATAAAATTTACATGGTTGTCATATTTTTCGTTCTGAGATGAAATACTATTTTATGTGCACCTATTCAGATTTGTGGATAGATGTTTTACAACTATTAAAGTACGACAGAAAGGCATAAATTAAAGTATTGGAAAGTCGTATAGTCAAACATTCGCCAGACATTTAAACAACACTAAGTTTAAATCTGAATCAGTATTTGTTTACATGAAATTTGGTCAGGCCTGACATTTTCGAGTGCATCTTCCTGTCTAATATCCAAGGACTCTTTGAAAAACTTAAATTGTCCTATTGTTTTTCGTTAATTCCAGGGAAATCATTTTCTATAAAGAAAAAGAATGAAATTAAAATGTAATTAAAAAATCATTATACAAATAATTAAATGTAGTGATTTAGCAAGAAATTAGTGGTAGCAAGTTGTCATATAGTTAACACTTTATATTAGGCATATAATGAAATTAACAGTTGGATGGCAATCACTGAATATATAACACCAGCATTAATTTTTAAAACTTAATATGTATGATATATGGTATTAAGATAGTAAGTCGTAAATAGAGACCGTAAGAGAACTAACTGTCTTCCTTTGACACTCATTCAAAATAGGTTTATTGATTGATTTAAGGAAATTACGTGGCATTAAGATATATTCAATTAATATAAGAAAATCTGCATTAGATAAGAATTTATTCGATAAAATATTTCTTAAAACATAATCACGTAAACGTAAAAGAAAAAGAGAAGAATATGAAAATCGTATTAGATTTTCCTCAAAATATACATTCTCTTAGACGTGGTATTGCTATTAAGAGAAAATTTTTCCTATTAATAACAATACTTCATCTTTGTTTTCTTTGTAAAATTCTATGAGATTCCTCCATAAAATCAGAAGTAATTATTATATAAAAAACACTATAGAAGACTTATCGTGCAATATCTAATAAACTTAGTTAATAAGTTAATGAAAAGATAATTCATGTTAAAATTAGTACGTTAATAAACATTTGATTGATTGATTGAATGATAAACTAATAAATCAAAAATAAACGAAACAACTAATCTCTTTTTATTTACATTTAAAAATCAAGAGAAAATATTAAATAAATGTAATAATGATACAAATAATGTAAATGTAATAGGCTACATAATACATTTTTAAAGTAAAAGTCAAATTAATTGGAAATTCTTTATTCAAAATCTTCATTTTCAGTTTATTCTGCCGAAAACCCTAAGTCTGAAAATACAAAAACAAATCAGTTGTTTTATTTCGTAAAGTGACATTCAAATGCGATATTGGAAAATAAAACATACAATTTTGGGCCAAGGCACTTTAAGAAAATACTCGTGTTCTCTTATATTTACTTCTAGAGGACGTCTGTACGGGTCCTGAAATACGAAAACAAAAGTAATTAATTCAAATTTACTATTCGAATGATTATATTTTCGAATGTTTTTTATTTCTGATTAAATAATCAGTAACTCGTTAATAAATTCTCTTTCTAATCGTTTTTACAAATTTACTTACAAGTTAGTAATATAAAACGGGAAGAGACAAATTCAGATTTGTTAAGTGCAATTAAGTATAATCTTACCTTTTGCAATATGTCATAAATAAAATGTTTGGTATCATCCGATAATTCAGCAGGATACGACACCTTCACATTTAGAGCAGCTGCAAACGCATTTTAATATTAATTATCTTATATTGCTATTATTATTATCCAATTAACAATTTTGATACATTACCTCTTATCCGGTCGTAACGGGGCAATAAATACACATTATCAATATCGAAAGCTTCTTTCACATAAATCTCCAGAGGAGTTCTTCCAACCAACGCTTGGAATAACACGATGGCGAAAGCCCACCAGTCACAGTAAAAATCTACAAATAATACATTCATTAATACATCCAACAATATGATACGAGCAAATATGAAAGTACAAGTCCTTACCGTAAGGCTTCCTCTGAAGAATTTCCGGACACATAAATGATAAAGTTCCACAAAAATCTCTTGGATTTCGTTCGTACTAAAAAAAATAATAATAAAATAGTTAAAAGATCGATAAAAAGCTACAGTTCAAGAATATTACAATGTATAATGCTTACAGTGGATAGACCGAAATCAATTACTTGTGCACCTTTGTACACATCTAACATAACGTTGTTTGAACTAATGTCTCGGTGTATTATTCCTATTCAAAATAAAAACATTACTTTGCCACTCTTTACACATTTAAGTGACAAAACAAAGTGACTAAATAAACTTATCTTTACATCCATTTGAGTTATTTTGCAGGGTTACGAGATGAGTGAATCCACAGGATTGTGTGTCAGAAAGTGTATAAAGTAACAAAACGATAAAATAAAATTATCTTTCATAAATAGGTTTTTTCTAGTTATGTTAGTCTCTTCTATCTTCGTAATAAACGCGTAAAACACAAGAAAATAGTATAGTTTCTAATTGGACTTAAAAGATAAACATAAGGTCAACTCCTCGCACGATAATATTGTTTACCGTGTTTCGATGCATCGGCAATTAAAATAAATTTACTCTTACAGACCTCACCGATTTCTAAAATTATTTTTCTAATAAAAGAAAGTGGTATTTTAGGATAGACAAATAACTTTCCTAGTCTCTTCTTGACAGGGCGCTTGTTAGGTAAGTACAGTATATCATAAAATCACTAACGACTTTAGGATATTTGAGGCCTCAGCTAGATATTGAAATTTAAAGCCCATTTATATAAATGTATACAATGTAAAGCCGTACGATATGNTCTTCGTTATCTTAATCTACTCAAAGAAAAATTTCGATTTTCTTACAAAGAAATCAATGGTTTACCTGTAATGGGTAATCTTTATTTTCCTGAACACTCGGTTCAGAATCTTCTCTCCTACTACAAACAAATTCCATTAATTCTTACATAATATTAAAGAATTCTTATAAATAATCACAATTTCTGATTAAATTTACCTTTTCTTCTTCATTTTCTTTCTCGTAATTCGCAAAACAACTTTTTCCGCACAGCGAAACATTTCACTCAACAATAACAACTCGACAATTGAACTCGAAAGTATTGTTCAAAAATCCATTGTAATGACGTCTACAGTGTCATATTAAGAATTTTTTAATTATATTTTTTTCTCCATATATGTTATGAGAAGGCCTTTTTATGGAGCTCATCGTGGGTCGGGTCAGACCCGCAATGGGACAAGGTTAATGGGAGACAGGTCCCTAATATGCAAGATGGACCATTTCCCAGAAATATTGGTGTTTTTAGTCCGATTTGGAATTTCTCCTCTCACCTTAACCCCTCGATCAATTTGCCCGTCACATCTTACTGTTAAATACTGCCAATTTGAAGTGTTTATAAATTTCAATGATATTTGCATTTATAAAAATCTGCTCGTGGTCTTCATAATATTCTTTTCTTGGTTTAATGTTGAACACAGAGATACAATGATAAAATTTTCAAATGTAAAAGATAATCAGAAATTATAAATTGTTCTTTCATTCGGCCTTTCGTTGAGCTTGAGTTTAAATGAGGTCGACAATGGTGGTGCGTTAATAAAACATTCGAACTCACCGCTATTTTACACGTGCTTCTTCTGTGAATCATACTGAGGAAAGTTGGCTTCTCACAGCAGAGGGATTGGTTCTGCTACGGGCACGTGAACTTCTGTCTTCTGTTAGTGAATTAGACGGACCTCTGGTTTGTTTCTTGTAGTTGGTTCTGAGGACATTCTCGAAGATTAAGGGCATACTACTCTAATCTCTATCATTACACAACTAGAACAAGAATATTAGATTTAATTTTTTTTTAATGTTTTCCGTTAAAATATATTGCATGCAACTATACGAAATATTGTGTGTGACCCAGAAAGACAGTATCAAGTCTATTTTCCTGGTCCTATCCAATACTGAAGTTTCAATCGTTGGGCATTGGATAATACATGTAAAAATCTGCATTTTTGACTGCGATTTTGCATCTTTAGCCTTACTATTTTAAAGATTTAAATGACAGTAACTTAATTTACTCTGGATATAATGGTTATTACTATTAATATTAAATTGAAAGAATATATTGAAATTTCAGTGTCTTTTTCTGTGTTAATGGAAATATTCTCAAAAGTTTTATTTAATAACTTTAATTACAGTAGACTCTCTCATACTCGAACTAATGCAGGCGAGAGTGATAAAGATATGAGAAAACTCCGAATATGGGTGTGGGAAAAATTTAAATACGACTGTAACATATATGCTTTCTGTATGTATAAAAATGTTTAGTTTGACTTTGACTTTGACTGTAAATAAATTAATTAAATCGACTTCCCACATATAGTAAAATCTTAAGAAACTATTGATCAAGTTACGGTACTTTTCTTACGCTTGGTTTCGAAGGTAAGACATAAAGCAACATTTTTCAAATATTTTGTATTTAAAATCTATTTTTAACATCGTATACCATTTTGTTATGACCACAATGTTCAGAGGATATGAATCTCCGTCATTATATCAATATACTATTAATTAGGTATGATACGTACTATAAAATTCTCAGGTAACTTTTTCTTAAAAATAAGATAATCTTCATTGGCTGTATTTATGACATTGTGCTTTGAACATTAATAATATTCGGTAGACGTTCGCTGTGTATTGGAACCTATTACTATCTTACCACTTTTCCTGTCGTACATAAAACGTAAAGAAACGTACATAAAATAACAAAATATTCTTTACTTTTTAAATCTTAACCACTTAGTCAAATAGCTCCTTACGAGTTGAATCAGAGATGGTCCTGCTAGGTGTGCGGTGCGTGCATGCACGCAGGCTGCCATATCCCGAGGGTGCCGATACCGGTCAATGTCAAATGCCTCTTTTGTCACATCACTACTATATCTCAAAGGACGCGATAGGGTTTTTGTAAATACAAAAAACTATCATATGAACATACAGGTAAATTATTATCGGTTGGGTTAAGTTATAAATCTACTCGCGATTCACGTAATCGGGCGAGGGCCACCAAATATCTAGCGGGTGGACGGCTAACAGCCCAGAACCGGTCCTGGATAGAATTGGATGCGGTATACGTGTAGCATCCACACGAGGTCCTAGGCTTCCACCAGCTAAACCAGCTAAAACTTCAAGAGTGCCCTCAGAACCAACTACGGGAATCAAACCAGAGGTCAGTCTAATTCTGTAACAGAAGACAGAAGTTCACGTGCCCGTAGCAGAACCAATCCCTCTGCTGTGAGAAACAAACTCTCCTTAATAGGGTTTACAGAAATAGCACGTGTAAAATAGCAGTGAGTTCGAATGTTTTTTTTACGCACCACCCTTGTCGACCTCATTTAAACTCAAGCTCAACGAAAGGCCGAATGAAAGAACAATTTATAATTTCTGATTATCTTTTACATTTGAAAATTTTATCATTATATCTCTGTGTTCAACGTTAAACCAAGAAAAGAATATTATGAAGACCACGAGCAGATTTTTATAAATGCAAAAATCATTGAAATTTATAAACACTTCAAACTGGCAGTATTTAACAGTAAGATGTGACGTTCAAATTGATTGAGCGGTTAAGGTGGCAGGAAAGATTCCAAATACAACTAAGACAATATTCTGATTAAGATCAATATTTCTGGGAAATGGTCCATCTTGCATATCAGGGGCCTGACTCCCATTAACCTTATCCCATTGCGGGTCTGACCCGACCCACGATGAGCTCCATAAAAAGGCCTTCTCATAGCATATATGGAGAGAAAAATATATTTAAAAAAATTCTTAATATGACACTCTAGGCGTCATTACAATGAATTTTTGAACAATACTTTCGAGTTCAATTGTCGAGTTGTTATTGTTCAGTGAAATGTTTCGCTGTGCGGAAAAAGTTCTTTCGAGAATAACGAGAAATAAAATGAATAAAAGGTAAATTTAATAGGAAATTGTGTCTATTTATACGAATTCTTTATTATTATGTAAGAATTAATGGAATTTGTTTGTAGTAGGAGAGAAGATTCTGAACCGAGTGTTCAAGAAAATAAAGATTACCCATTACAGGTAAACCATTGATTTCTTTGTAAGAAAATCGAAATTTTTCTTTGAGTAGATTAAGATAACGAAGAATTTTGATTAATTTTAAAATATTCGTACCGATAACGTTGCAAACATCGATAATTTTTACCTTGATGTTTTATAGATTGACAAAGATTCGCCTGCAACAAAATGTGACTCCTCGAATCTAGGCGAGTCGCAGTTGCAAGCAAATAACCCGATGAAAGGTAAATTTATGGAATTTTTAAGAAATTTATTCCATAAATTCTTGTTGTGTTGTTGCATTTCAGGCGAGATTTCTGATTCCGAGGTAAGTTTTCGTTCCTACTGTCTTCCTTCCATTAGCAAATTTTATAAATAAATAATCATTTCTATAATTTTGTAGACTTACGAACCGGAAAAGAAACTCGCAGATTCAAAGCAGGAACACGACCGTTTCGATAAAGCCAAATATTATATTGACAAGTACAAAATTACTAAAGAAATTGGACGTGGAAGTTTTGGGACTATTTATTTGGCTAAGACCAAATATTCTAGAAAGAAAAAGGCTTTAAAAGTCGTAAAGAAGAAAGTCTCTTCTTCTAATCAGGTATTTTTTAACAAAAATTATCAATATTAAGGGGATTAAGAACAATTTCCGGAATATACACACTAATCACTAAATATATATATATATTAAAACAATAATAATTTTTAATAGTATATTGAGAATAAGAGTAATCAGTGTTTTATGAATTTACATTAGTAATATTTAAACAATATTTAAAATTTATATTTCGTGTGTAATCATCATTAATTTATTTATAGTTTGGTGAAATCCGGAGAGAAACAATCGTTTGGAATTGCGTGTCCGCCCATCCAAACATTGTCAGATTGATTCGATTCCTGCAAACTGACACAGCGTAAGTGTTTTTTCTCTTTTCTCGTGAGTTATTTATAATAATTTGTGCTCTGTGAAGTAATAAGTTTTATGTTTTAGCTATTGCTTTGTCTCGGATTTTGTCCAGGGAGAAACTTTGACCGAATTTGTACAAAAGAATGGCCCTATACCGGAGAGAAAAGCAAAAGTGTTTGCCGCTCAAGTGGCCTCTGCTATTATGTATATTCATAGTAATGGTAGTTATTCGCTGTAGATTTATTTGCTTGTTTAGTCCAGAAATGTGTAAAGAGTGGCAAAGTAATGTTTTTATTTTGAATAGGAATAATACACCGAGACATTAGTTCAAACAACGTTATGTTAGATGTGTACAAAGGTGCACAAGTAATTGATTTCGGTCTATCCACAGTAAGCATTATACATTGTAATATTCTTGAATTGTAGATTTTTATCGATCTTTTAACTATTCTATTATTATTTCTTTTAGTAGGAACGAAATCCAAGAGGTTTTTGTGGAACTTTATCATTTATGTGTCCGGAAATTCTTCAGAGGAAGCCTTACGGTAAGGACTTGTACTTTCACATTTGCTCGTATCATATTGTTGGATGTATTAATGAATGTATTATATGTAGATTTTTACTGTGACTGGTGGGCTTTCGCCATCGTGTTATTTCAAGCGTTGGTTGGAAGAACACCTCTAGAGATTTATGTGAAAGAAACTTTCAATATTGATAACGTGTATTTATTGCCACGTTACGACCGGATAAGAGGTAATGTATCAAAATTGTTAATTGGATAATAATAATAGCAATATAAGATAATTAATATTAAAATTCGTTTGCAGCTGCTCTAAATGTGAAGGTGTCGTATCCTGCTGAATTATCGGATGATACCAAACATTTTATTTATGACATATTGCAAAAGGTAAGATTATACTTAATTGCACTTAACAAATCTGAATTTGTCTCTCCCCGTTTTATATTACTAACTTGTAAGTAAATTTGTAAAAACGATTAGAAAGAGAATTTATTAACGAGTTACTGATTATTTAATCAGAAATAAAAAACATTCGAAAATATAATCATTCGAATAGTAAATTTGAATTAATTACTTTTGTTTTCGTATTTCAGGACCCGTACAGACGTCCTCTAGAAGTAAATATAAGAGAACACGAGTATTTTCTTAAAGTGCCTTGGCCCAAAATTGTATGTTTTATTTTCCAATATCGCATTTGAATGTCACTTTACGAAATAAAACAACTGATTTGCTTTTGTATTTTCAGACTTAGGGTTTTCGGCAGAATAAACTGAAAATGAAGTTCGGATCTTTCTTGAAATCAATGTGGAAGCCGGTTAAGAGGTACGTATTTCTANTATTTTTGATTTATTAGTTTATTATTTTTTAATCAATCAATCAAATGTTTATTAACGTACTAGGCCTGTTACAAGGGGGTTATTTATAGAATTTCTTAATTTTAACATGAATTATCTTTTCATTAACTTATTAACTAAGTTTATTAGATATTGCACGATAAGTCTTCTATAGTGTTTGTTATATAATACAGTAATAATAATTCTGATTTTATGGAGGAATCTCATAGAATTCTACAAAGAAACAAAGGTGAATACAGAATCTCTTAATAACAATACCACGTCTAAGAGAATGTATATTTTGAGGAAAATCTAATACGATTTTCATATTTTTTTCTTTCTCTTTTACGTTTACGTGATTATGTTTTAAGAAATATTTTATCGAATAAATTCTTAGCTAATGTAGATTTTCTTATATCAATTTAATATATTTTAATGCCACGTAATTTCCTTAAATCAATCAATAAATCTTTTTCGAATGACTGTCAAAAGAAGACAGGTTATCTACTATAAGTAATAGATATGTATTAGGCCTATATCAATGATGCGGTTTTCTTTATATTCTTTTAAAAGGTCAATTCTTCAAAAAAAAAAAGAAAAAAGAAACATTTTCTCAAAAATTAATGAAACTTTTTAGGTTAATTTCACAGAAATAACCGCCGTTTTTTTGCCTGGACTGCATTTAATCAGAGACAAAAGCTTATCTTCGTATTTTTTATTTACTTATTTACTATGAATATCGGGTGCAATATTTTTTTGTGTAACTTGCACCCCTCTTCAGGTTTTACATTTCTATAAATTGGTAAATTAAATTATTACATTTGTTATTATTGTAAATTACAACAATTTTGGATATATTTACACAATACTTACTAATCTGTTTTATGTTTAGGCATACATCTGCCTAGCGTTGATGTTGTGTCTCCTAAGGCAAAAACAAAAAAATGAGTTAGTAAATACCTTCATCTTGAACGACTACCCAAGCAGATTACGGAAAATTAAATAAATGCATTTATAAAAAGCAGATTCAACGTTAAAAATAAGAATGAGAACACTACATATACGTCGTTTCCCTATGTTAAGGGAACATTTGAAAAATACAGAAAAGTTTTCAGTAAGCATGGTGTTACACTAGCAGCCAAATTAAAAAATAAAATTAAAAACATCAACAGCAATAAGTTTAAAAATAACGAAATACTAAACCAAACAGGTGTAATATATGAAATAAGATGTACATGTAAGAAACCAGCTATATACATTGGCGAAAACAGGAAGTCAACTCGGTACCAAAATAAAAAAACATAAAGCAGCAATTAGACTTAATTATAACCAGTCACCATGGGCAAATCGCTGTAGGGAATTTGGATGCAAAATCAAAGAAAGAAGTGTAAAAATAATCCATAGAAAAAAAGACAGTTACCTACGAAAATTCAAAGAGCACTTCGCAATTTATATATATATATACACGTCCATTTATTATCGATTTATATAAG